CACTAATCAAAACAACAAATCATCGAACGTGTACTTACACGATGTCCAACCCATTCATTAGCATTCTTTAAATAAATTCCAAAATTCAATCTTGATATAATTTCATTTTTTTCAATTGAATAGTAAACAAAAATTTTCTCACCCTCTCTTGACTCTGCCCAGTAAACTAAATTATGTTGAATCAAGACAAAAATACATTCACGTGTTTTTGAGATAGTAAGCTTTGAGTGAGTGGAGATTGATTGTAGAGTTAGCCGTCCTTTTTCTAAAAGTGCTTTTGCAACTTGCTTGAAAGAAATAAAGTATTAATGTGCCGTAAAGAAGGTGGGGGTAATTTGAAGGAAGGCAATAATTATATTTTACATTATTACCTCTACTACTGGACCAAAATCATCTCGAATAATGTAGGAACATAAATGTTTAAGCGTCTCAGCCATTTATTAAATATTAAAAAGAAGGTTTAGATAACTTGAAAGATTTTCAATCTATGATAATAACAATTGGCCAATCACATCGAAGAATTTTTGTCAAATTTGTTTGAGAATTTTTATAATTTATTTATTAATTACCATTATCAGTGGTGTAGTTGCAGTTTCCAATCATTGAATTGTCTAGTGATGCAATGAAATCCATTGAGATCTTGGATATGTTCCTGAAAAGAGTATGACAATTCTCTTTAGGATATTGATATGGAGGTGCAAATTAGTCAACTGTGATTATTGGTAGCTTGGGGTTTTTATCAGATGGATTAAAAAAAAAAAAGCATTCACAATCAACAATTCATCCAAGGATGGGTGATCAGTATGACTATTCTCTTTGGTATATCGATATGGAGGTTCTAATTAAAGCACAAAAAACAAATTAGTCAACAATTCATCCAAGGATGGGTGATCAACATTTTTAATCTGATAGTTAAGTGTGAACTCGATCAATGAAACTGGATTGATTTTCAAGATTGCCAAGTTCAAAAGATAGTGAGTGATACGGCGCCATTTTGATAAAGGCCATCATACATTCATTCAATAAAATTCGAATTTTGATTTCTTAAGATTGGTGAAAAAGAACAAGATAAGATTAACCCTTTAAAATTAATTTTATCCAAACACAATTCAAATATCTCTTCTGCCAATAATTCAACAAGCGATTTAATGACGTAATCACAATTTTTTTTTTGTTTAATATTAAAGTCATGGATAAAAATTGGCCTTTAACCAGTTTTAACCGGTTTTTCTAAACGGATAAAATAGTAATAATAATAATAATAGTAACTTATTTATCCTACTGTTTTACTATAAATATTACCATTAACCAACCATTACTATTGCTATTATCAACGATTATCGCGATTATCGTGATAATTATTCAATAATAGTTTTAAAAATTATTTCATACACATAACAAACAACTGACGTCGCACCTGCTTTCGTTAAAAATGCGAGGATGCGGCTATTTTAAAAATTCCGACAAATCGCAATTGTTTATATTTACTATTACTATTTACTATAAATATATGTAATAACAGGAATGGTTTTCTTTTTGAGAGTATGCAAGGCTTGTCTTGTTTTTTTTAAATCTGAAATTCACGAAGCAAAATAAATGTGTAGTAATAGTGGATATCTGACGTGTATATATATATATATATAACCACTATTTCCATACATTATTTTATTTGATTCTCCATTCACGGACAGATAAAGGATTTTCCCAATCGGGAAGATTTTCCTTTGTGTTTTCAATTTATTAAAATAATATTTATTTTAATTAAAAATGCAGTTGATAAAGAATGGATTCAATTATGGATGAAAATTACTCCGCAATGAATTAATAATCATTGAAATTTATTCCATTTCGAGTAAAAATTTAAACGTGTGTTACTGATTATTATTTATTATAAAAAAAAATTTTTCCTCAATCCCTTTTAAAAAAAAGATTTTTTTTTTATTTATTTAACAAAACTCAAGGTCGACAAATGTTAAAAAAATGAGTTCAAATTTTAATAACAGCAACAATCTATATATTCCGACTTTAGATTCTGACGATTTTCTGTCTCAAACTGAAAATGATCTTGAAGAACTGTCTATATGGGAAAAGGCCGAATTTAACAATAGTCCAATGGATTATTTAAAAGTTTCTCCAAATTTTGAAGATCAAGATGTTTCAGCCATGTTTTCATCATCTAATATGTTAGTT